ATGGCTTTATTTTTTATACTTCGTTTTTATACTTTTCTGCTGAATAGTTAAGACCAAGATAAAGCAAGACCTTTATAACAAGAAATGTAACTTTTGTATGTGACAAGGTCAGTCAAATCCCCTCAGGATTTACCCTGAAACCCTGTACCTCAGTTTGTAGATCCTTTGTCAGTGTGAGCCCTGTGGATGAGTCATGGCCATTGTTTGGCCAGTGTGCTCTCTGTGAAAGCCTGAGAGAATACTTTCTCTCCATGTGACTCTCCTTAGGCACACTTTGCATCATCGATCACTTTCCTCTGTGGCCTTATAATCTCCTTGATCAGAAAATTTGGGACACCACTGTGCTACAGGATGTTACAGTACAGATTCTCTTGACTCAGATCCTTTGTTACTAACTGTACTAAAATCTTGACAAAAGTTAAAGCCTGAAATGGTAACTTTTGAACAGCAAAACTAAAGCTACAGCAGATGTTGATGAGTTATGCAGCAACTATGATGTGACTCAAAACACAAGGAACTGACCAATGGTTGTACTTTACTCTATCTTAAACATGTATGACATAAATAGTTTGATAATTTACAAAGAAAATAACAAGTGCAAAGCATCATGGGGAAATTTTCTTAGAGGATTGGGGTTGAAACTCATAAAAGATTATTTATAGCAGAGGAAAACCAAAATATTTCTGCCAAGGGAGCTATGCAAAAGATTGTGGAGCGTAGTGGTGGACAGGCAAGTGCAAGACCAACTATGATAATAGGGAAACCAAAAGGATAGTAACTGTGCCCTATGGAAAAAGTCAGGAACACAAAACATACATGGTATCAGTGTGACACTTGTGCATGGAACATGATGCAGTTGTTTTGTGTGAAGAATGCCTTGGGTGGGACAATTGAAGCAAAGTTATTTTTGCTGTAGAATTCTATTGGTAGCTTCACTGTAGTTCATATAGGAACTTATTTCTGATGTTATCCTTTAGATTTTGTCAGCAAGTGCAGAGCTGATGCAAAAATGTTGTTTATTCCTGAACACATACTACATATTAGGAATTTAACACTTTATTTTATGGACATTGTATGTTCCTGTTAACTACACATTGTACAACGTAATAGGAACCTACTGATAAAACAGAAAGACCAGTAGATGTCAAGTATGTCCCACTAAACAGTCAGCAATGCAAAACATGTCAGTATAAAGGATATATGTATGTATCGTGTGTGAAGACTGCCTCAGGTGTGATAATTGAAATAATATTATTTTTTGTTGTAGAACTCTATTAGTATTTTCATTGCATTTTTAATAAGAAATTATTCCTGTTATTAATTTTTATTTTATTTATTTATTTATTTTTGTTATTAATTTTTAGATTTGGTACACCAAAAAAAGTTAATGTTGAAAAATTTGATGCTTTTTTAATAAGCACCCAATTAATATTAAAAATTCAGGCACACACCTGTAATCCTAGCACTCAAGAGACTGAGGCAGGAGGATTAAGACCAGCCTGGATTACATAGCAAAACCCGTCTCAAAAAAAAAACAATGCTTTATATTTTTATTTTTTTATTGCTAAGTATTCATTGCTTAATAATAAAATTAATAATTCATCAATAGAAATATTGTAAATAATAAATTGGTATTATAAACACACAGTGTGTCTTTATGACAAAATTATGCCCCATGCATTGGCTCAAGAGATGTCCCTTGTCCCTTCCATCGCATGTGGACACAATGAGAAGCTGTCATTTATGAACCAGAAAGGGGGCTCTTAGTAGACATCAAACCAGTCAGCACCTGGGTCTTGGAGCTTGCTCCCTCCATAACATATGGAGTAAATTTCTATTATTTGTAAGCCACCAGACTGTATTTGACATAGCAGCACAAATAGACTGAGATATCATCCTTTATTTTTGGAGTTTGCAGAGTGGTAATATTTTTTCTGTTTTCTGGGCTTGTAGAACTCAAACTTAGATTATGGGAAAGAGGAGAAAAAGGTAATGGGACAGTAAAAGAAAAAAAAAGCTGCCTAGGAACCAGAAATTTACTTGGTGAAAACCTCCAACTTTTCGAATCATTAGGTTTTAATGATGAAATAATTTCACTGGGGTAAGCATACAGAGAAAGAAGAGCTACCAGGGTGATTTCTACAACTGCACAGATTTGATGTCTATATTCTTAAGGTAAGTTATCACCAGGCCAAAACTTTGAGGTGTGTACTAAAAGCCACTGGGGTACTCACACTGACTGTGGCCTCTCTGAGGAGAGACCAAGTTTGGCTGAAGATCACTTCTCAATGGATTTCAGGGGTTTTTCTTGAATTGTACTCACTTATCTACTGAAAAAAAAACCAACAAAATTATAGGATGTGGACAGCTATTAGGACTATGTGAAGGAATGTATGAAGTAGATATAGTGTTCAGTAATTAAATTATAAAGGATACTAATTAGAAAATAATGATTCAGGGACCAGGGTTTGATCCCCGGTCCCGCATGCCTCTCTGGCCCCGCCCCTGGGATGCACTGAGCTGGTGACTGAGGCTGGGCATGGTGGCACATGCCTGTAATCCTAGCACTGGGGAGGCTGAAAACAGGAGATCACTATAAGTCAGAGCTGAGTAGTGATAGCCTGTACCAAATACATAAATGGAAAAAAAATTGATTCATGTTGATGTAATTAGCTTTAAAATAGAGGAAAGTGTTGTCATAAGATAGAATTGGCAG